GTAGTAATCTCCCGAAGGTATTCAACCGTACCTCTGACACTCCCAGAACGGCTAGTCTGTATCTCCTCAGTTCGCTTGCCAGCTGGGCGAGTTTTCTTGCCTGAAATAGAGTCCACACATTCCCGCAGCCAATCCTTGTTAAGGACTTCAGTTGATCGGCGTTTGGGCGCTCAGTTGGGTTTGACCCATTGGCTTCATTCTTGTCCTTGAGGGACGGCCTATATCCTACTGTGATCCACATCTGCTATACTGGTTTCGCGTTCTGTGGCATACAATTTTTTTTATGGGGCCTCTACCCTTCGACCTTTCCGGCATGGGTGACCCTACCAGGAGTTAAGGACTCTCAACGCATAGCTCTACTCATAGACACATCCAGGCTACCGCACCACAACAAAGTGGTGATCTAGACGGGATGGGCAAGGAATAAGACTTTGTGAATATCTTTTAACAGCCCAAAGCATTACAAAAAAGCTTTGCTTTCGCCCCTTCAAACGCAGATTTTATGTCAAAAACTTACTTTCATCCCAGATGGAATCAGCAACTTTCACATTTTGAAACAAGCTACGTAATGTTATTTCAGTTATATGTAACATCTTGCCAGCAAAACCACTTCTCTCCCCTCTCACCTCCACTTTATAATCTCCATACTGCACATAATATAAGTACCAATTGATTTCGCTTTCAGTCTGGTTGCAGGTTTTTTTTTTCCACCAGCTGTACGTTCATAAATTCTGGCGATCGCGTACTGTCTTCCCTTCAACAGAGCGGTTTAGAAAGCCAAAAAAAAAAATAAAACAAAATGGTATCTTTCACATCTGCAAATGACCGCCGTATGAGGTTTCCAATCTTTTTTTCTTATTTTACGACGTTCATGCCTTTCTTTTCTTTGCATAGTTTACAAAAACAGGGAAAAAATTTTGCTACCATGCAAAACAGATAAACCTACAATCCCACGATTTGTTCCAACCGACAGCTAATGCTCGAAACGTTCGCTTCAGTAGAAAAGGCTTATAAACTCTTGACATATTTATGATAAATTTCCCATTATTTTTCCACATCCGTGTATGGGCCAAGCCATCAATAATTTTTTTTTGTTTGGTTCAAACAGAAGTCACATGACTTCTTCTCCAATGAGTTTCAGTGTGTTACTCGACCCTTTTTCACAATCCAGATCCAACCATGATTTTGTAACACCCTCGAATTGTCAGAACATTATGAATAACCATTGGGTGCGAATCTGATATAAATGATCTGACCAATTGTCACCAAAGTCGTAAATAATTTGCTTTAACCGTGGTTTAACTAGGCAAGACGTCATGGTTTCGAATAGTTGTCTTCAGAGTGTAACATTCCTAATGACTACTGTGACTGAAATGGTTGCGCGCAAAACAACGCGACACTTTTCGGCAAGTTTTACAGTCTTTTCAGCAACCCTTTAGTGACTCTGTGGCGCACCAGGAGTGAACACAGACTTTTATGAAACACTGGCATTCGCCACTTTAAAAACGAGAAGAATCTTAGGACAAGTCTTGACCCGCAGTGGCTTGTGGAACAAAAAGGAATTTTCATAGAACGTTGGTCATTGGGTCATGACATGATAACGTGGATTTTTGAGTAAAATAGACGAGACAGTGAAAAGTAAAATTGTCACGTTTGCTCTTTCAACGTATTATTGAATTTAAAACGAACGAAAATCAACGTAAAACATTGCAGTAAAATTTAAAGCTGTCTTGAAAAACGATAGCTTGTAAGTTATTGTTGGACCTTGAATGAAAATACGCACATGAAACATACACTCTGCTAAGATTATGTCTTATCAAGGTATCTGTCCGTTCATTTTCTGCAAGGGGAAAGCCCTAGCTTGCAACCAAAGTCGATACAAACCTGAAGTAAACGGCACGGATGAGGACCTCTGTGACTACTAAATGTCAGAGCTGAACATTACACTCTGCACTCTCTGAGATTGCCTCACTAGTTTGTTCAAATAAGGAATATGGGACATATTAATAATGTTCCAATGTTCCAGCCGAAACAATGGAACGGCAGCGTAGATCAACTTCAGTAAAAGTGAATCGCCTTGCATTCTAACGAACCGGCTCCCAGGATTTGATTCTCATTTGTTGTTTTTTTTCTATGATGGATATAATGTGAAATGAGCTCAAAAAATGTGGCTGGAATATTTCAACCCGTGTTTATAACGTAGATGTCATCACAACGAGGCGTGAAAATGCACCAAAAGCGTACCAGAGATAATCATTGACTAACTTGTTACAAAAAAGAAATATCAGTGCCACAACACACAAAGCTATATCAGTCATCTCGCCTCAGGGAAAAGCAACGATGCCCAAGTACTACAGTATAGATTTTTTTTCATTCACCGTAAGACATGATTGATTGCTGGCAAAAACATATTATCATATCGGCTACTTAAGCTTTCGGTTAGCGCGGTATTGCCTGGGAACTTGTCGGTACATCATGATCAGTTCAATTGTAACTTGAGCTCAGGCGAAGCAAGGTGAGTTATATTTTCTTTCTTTTGGTTTCTTTTATGGCAATTTCATTTAAAGAAGAACACCACGCTTTTACAGAATGCGAGTTTTAAAGACCGGTAAAACATATCTTCGGTTAGCGTTTTGAAGGATTGTGTAACGTATGCACACAAGTCATTGTGCCCTTAATAATGTTTCCATTCTTCAAATTGGTATAGAAAAGACAACAAATTCTTTGTAGTATTTGCGTTATCTAATTTGTCCTCATATGTGATGTGAAGGACAAACGTTAAAATCACCATCCAAATTCAGTTTAGTAAATTTCAAGCGAGTGTCCGCTTTATACGTTTTCGGTTATTAAAAATCTACGATTAACTTGACCCAAATTGTTATTCCATATAACCAGAAGATAAACATTGCTGTTTCTTTCTAGCAACGGAACACTGTAAAGAGAAAATGATCTCAACCAGGAACTTTCAACGCTAAATTTTGTGGCAAAGTTTGGAAGTACAAACGGATAAGTTGTCCAGTTTGATGTTTTGTTTCAAGCTGTTCGCAAATTTACATTTTTTTGTGATTAATTAATATCTTTATGATATCAATATAGAGCTGGAAACTAGAACAATTACTGTAGAACAGAATGTTTTTGACTTACTGATATCATCAGGGTGTCATAATGTCATTACCCTAAAATGACAATAAGTATAAAAACGTTCGGTTTTATAATGATTTTTCTAGTGTTTAGCCTTGTATATCATTTTACCTCTCTTAATGGCCGGAAGATTATGTTAATGACTATACATTTTAACTCTTCGGTTAAACCGTTCCATAAAAAGAAAAAAACTACAAAAATTTTAAGCAACAAGTACAAGAACTTATCAAACTAACAGATAGAAATTAGAATCCCTTCATACTGAAATACTGATGTAAGGTGGCAAGCAAACTCAACAACGTTTCTTTCCCAAAGAGAAAGGAAAGTTTAGATTCATTTAATTCTGTTTCGTGAAATCCAGCTCTTAATGCATATATGGTAATTTCAGACCCTGCTGGCAAAAATTCTTGCGCAAGTGATTACCGCTGCCAGGCAGTGAAACTTATTCATTTGCTAAATGGGCAATGAGCCGAGTTAAACAAGAATGGAAAATATCACAAATAACTCTAAACACCAATGCTCAAAACATTAAGGTATCATGGTAGGTGGATTGACAGTGTTTGGAAATCGCGCTCTTACGCTGGCGCTTTGAAAGAAAACACCCTCAACCTAGACATTTTCTGAAAGCTTAATAGTTATAGAATACAATCATATCTTTGAAATTTTCTAAAAAGCTATTGTCGCATGCAGTGATATTAAAAGAAATACCCAGAAACATTGCTTCGCTTAAACTGGTTCGTTTCCGCGCGTGAATTATCGGAGCGATGCGATTTACATCGGAAATGTTTTCTCACACATCACCCTCAAAAAGGGTGTCTGCGATTTTCCAGATGTGGTTTGGTTTTTTTCTACACCCTCCTAAACTTTCATATTTTCAATGCGGACGTTTCCTTCTACTAAAGAGGCCATAACTTTGAAACGGAAGCGAAATTAAACAAAGCCCGACACCCGTTTTCGAAGAAGGTATCCTGGAACATACCTGCCGATTTTCAGCCAATTCCATCGGAAAACGCGCGTAAACGAACTAAAAATGTTCGTCCTTATATGTAGTTTTATTTTATCGAGAAAAAGACGAAAAACATTTTATGAAATTGGAATGAATAGGTGTTAAAAATCCCCTCCGCACTGACAGATGTCGGCATGGGACAGTGTACCACAACAATGGATTATGACAACTTGAAATAAGCAGACGACTACAGTTCTAGCGCGGAGACCCGTCGCAGTGAAATCGCCGAGAAGCGACAAACTACAAGTTAAACTGCCGTGATTTCGTCGGCGGCATTGATATTATGTTGCTTCAGTTTAGTCTTCTTTGTTCTCCAGACATTTTTTTAAACCACGCCTCGTGAAGCCAAAAAGAGGAAATCTCGAGGTCTACATTTTCTACATCTACATCTGCGCGTTGCGTCCGTTCTACAACAATTTCGTGCAACTAGCTCTTGCTGTATTTTTTCCTTTAGCTTCATTGGCGGGACTAGTGTCCTCGAGTTCCTTCAACCAGTCTTCTTGGTTAAAGTGCGACCCACGGTCGCTTAGAGCCAAAGATGTTGTTCGACGCTAAACCAGATTTTCGCCTCTTGGGCTTCTTCGAAAACGGAAATGGGCAAGGAGTTTTCGTCTTGACATTAACAAAATTTGACAAGAACGAAAGCTAACTTGAGGTGAAACAACCAGATCGACAACAGTTCGCGTACACCAATGAAACATCACACCGCAATTCGCATTACATGTGACAACTGGCGGTAAATTTTAGAGGTGTCAGCGCGCCGTACGGGGTTAATGATATTCAGAAATAGTTTTTTTTTTCTTTATCTTAAAAAGTAAAAAAGCCCTTTCCCCCATTTTTTTTGCAAAATATTTATCTCAATCTTCTCAATTTGAACAGCCAAAAAAAGATTTTTCGCATTTTTCGTAAAAATCCAACTACCATGATACCTTAAATACACTTACCTTATAATGTAATACATATCACCAATAAAGAAAAGAGAAGACAAAACCGAGAGCAGCGGGAAAGGTTTGAAACGTAAACAAAATGAATATTACGTTATTGTTCCACATCTATTTTATGTTGCTAGAAGCTTTTAGAGTTCCTACGACAGATTTCTTACTCTCACAGTCTGGGAAACATATTTTAATCTGCTGTGAACACCAAACAAGACAAAAGGAGCTTTCTAATCATAACTTTCAGATTCATTTTACAGGGCTAAAGGAAAGAAAAGCAAGACATAAAAGACATGGATCTAGCTAAAAGGAAACTAACGCCCTTCTTTGTTCTGACAAAGAGACAAAAAAGAAACATCCGGATTTGTTTGGGCACAATCTTGATGGCCTTGGCATTTTATCGAATATTCTATCATACACAAGATGAACAATCTCGTCTTGTTAAAACATCCAAGTTAAATCAAACAAAGCTAATTTTGGTTTACACTCCACGTGCAAGCGAGCCATGGGGTCCACGAACTGCTGAAGAAGCTAAGAACTACAAATTTACAGATTGGGATGGCACTCCATGCGAAGAAGACAGATGTCAAATCACTTTTGATAAAAGTCTACGCAACTTTAGTGATGCTGTGCTCGTACACGCCTTTGGTGCTGCGTTAAGCCGCGAATGGAATGTTGAACTGGCAAAGAGGAACAGGCCATCCGCACAGAGGTGGGTCTTCTACACAAAAGAAAGTCCCCAGCAGTTTTCAATGGCACCCAAAGGTGACGGCGTGTATAACTGGACCGCAACATATCGACGAGATTCGGACTTTTTTGTCCCTTACGGATCTTATTCAACATTGAAAATCCCAAAGAAGTCAGATGGCGAGGACTTTGAGGAACAACCTGACGAGA